AGCATACAACAGAGAAGACTTAATGAAAACTGTATCACTCAAAGACACGCTTAGGTGTGCATCCCAGCACTGTAACCTTCCTTTCTTCCATGTTCTGAGGCAGTTTGTTACGCTGCCCATCTACAAACACATTTTCAAAATGCATCAGCACTTACAGTCTCATTCTCACTAAGCTGATATGCAAAATAGCCGTCCTCTGTTTCACAATCTGTTAGAAAGCATGTGTCTTGTCTTTCCATCACTGATTAGATTCAGAAGTCACTGAACTGAGGCCTTAGCTCCCATAACCCACCCCTCTCAGGAAGCATGGCCAACATTTCAGACATTCCCTCTTCACTAACAGGAGACCCCTGTCTTCTACCAAACATCTCGTGACTTGAGAAGTAGGCAGATGTTACAGGAAAATTCCAGAAAGCTATGTCCGCCTTTAAAGATGCTTCCTCTGCTCTCTTTAACTGGGAGAGGGGTTTATGGCAGACAATAGAGGAACTGCAGAAGGTCCACTACCAACAGCTGCTCCTAAAAAAGGAGCCCTGAGGAACTGCTCAGAATAATCTCAGATTTCCTCTGACAAAATCTCCCTACAGAACTGCTGCAAGACTGAAGGGAGAAGCCAAAGGCGTCACACTTGGAAAGAACTTCCTCCTGAACTTTCCCTAAGGACTTTTCCAACTTGGAGACTTGGACTTTAAATACGAATATAGGATCACAGAGGACGAATTGCCAAAAAAAAGATTTTAAAACATGTGCTTGCTTTCCTGTGATGTGATGGGTGAAGAGTAGATAACCCAACATGTACTAGCTGAATGGACGAGTGAGGACCCCATGGGAGAAACTACAGTTCAGTCAATGAACTTAAACCCAAATATTTGTCCTGGATGTCCTCTCTCTGTCCTAATGGCTCATGGCAGCAACTGCAAAAATAATTTGAGCATCCTAAGTGTTTATTTGTGGAATTCATTGGATACAAACTTAGAGGCGCATTAAGTCATAAATTTCAGTGCACAATAAAAGGGAATAAAATATTGAATAAAATTTTGCCTATAACCAGAAGTCACCTGGTTATTCAAAGAAAGATTTTCCACACCTGAAAGCAGTGTTCGACAGCAAGAAAGCCCAGCCAAGAGGAACAAACACACGTGGCATTTACTTTTTATTCAGTGTAATATGAAACTGGATGCTCCAGCTGAGAGACGAGAAGGTAGGTAGGAATTAAATAATATTTTTAACTTTAAAAGTAAGAACATCTTAATTCCAGTCATTTATGAGTCCAGCAGTGAGCATAACCTCTGGGAAGAATAGTTTGCATTTCAACTCAGCCATATAATGCCATAACGGACACTTAAAACCGGGAGTGTTCACTTAGCTGGGGCACAAGGGACCCAAATCTTTACAACAGAATACTGGCTCTATTGCAAATACTGAGGCTAAGCAGTCCTAGTGGTATGTACTTCAGTGAGAGCTGAAATACAGCTCCAAGTTTTCAATGAATTGCTGACAAAATATTTTTTCTACAGTCCAGCCAGAGAGGCAACCAAACCTTAGCTTCTAATTCAGACGAAAAAGGACAGAAATCTTGTTAACACGCTTTTACCTGACTATATCTTATGCATGCTCTTCTGTATCAGAAAGTACTGCAGTTCTTCAGTGAGGGTAAATAAAAAGTGCTTTAGTAATGGACCAAGAACTTGTTCCAATGAAGAAGAGTATACTCAATGACAAAAATGGACACTAAAGCAAGAGCAGCAATACACCAGGGTTCAAATATATTCTCAAAAGCAGCAATGACTCTCTTTCACACACCTAATTGCAGAAAACTGCAACTGATTCAATATCAAACATAATTAAGAGAAGGCTCTAATGAAAAATATTATATTAACTACTACTGAGTATAAAATTGAATATAATGACTAGGATATCATTCTAACATCAGCATAAGGCACATGAAAGTATTACTACGCATCAGGACTAACACTAACCCAAGGACAAAGTTTAGGTTTTCACTTCTTGTTGTCCAAAAAACACGTTCTTTCATTCAGGACAAGAATCTTCAGCTTTCATGAGCCAAAGTAAATAACATTACTTCTACCAAAGTGAGAAATCCTGTTTACTGTTTACCCTTTCTGTTCATAGCAAAGTGTGTGTCAGGGAGCCATTTCTGGACATGGCCTGCTCTGTTTGATCACAGGACAGAGCAGCATGTTACACTAGTAAATCAAGAGCAGTGAAAAGTTCACAACAGTTTCCTACAGGAAACAGATGCAACATGGCTGGCATCAATAAAGTTTTCCCCTAAATTCAGAGAACCAGCAGAGAAAACTGCTCGAGTAGGCAGAACACAAGAAAGTCAGCACAAGAGCTGGCTAGCTTACTTTGTGCTGCTCAGCAAACGGAAAAAGAAAAGCAAGCAACTAACAGAAGGTATCATCATTATATTACATAACTGCATGCATCCACATTCATCTCTCAGAAAGCCAAGACAAGAAAAAACCTCTTGATAATTAAAAAATAAATTAAAAACTGATTGTTCTACTAACTTTGTAGGCTTCTCCAAACCTTTAACTCCACAGAAATACACCATGCAGTACAGGCTCACAAAATGCACGTATTGCCTACGATAAAAGCATTACATTAGTGTAGCACACTGACTTACGGCTAACTAGGAGAGGGGAGAAAATAAAACGACAACAACAAAAATTACAACCAAATCATAACCAAAACAAGAAAAAAATATCTTTTTTAAAATCACTGTTGCATAAGGAATGGTGCACGTTAGCGGATTTCCTTTGAAAATATGAAAGATAAACCTCTTGTACTAATCGTTTGCTTTTTTTAATAAGAAAGGATGTGAAAACATTACTTTCTTACCTCTCCCTACACACCAAGTACACCAAAGATACTACACGCATTCTATTGTATAAATATCATAGATTTTGAGGATGTAAATATGAAGAACATACTTTGCCATTTAAATTAGCCTTGGCTATGACAAATATTGGCTCACAATAAGAAAAACTAACAAGAGGGCGAAACACACTCTCCAGAATGTGTTTCTTGAGATGGAAGACATAAGAAATACAGCATTAGAAGAACAAATGAAACGAGGGCAAGAAACCGGAGGCAAACGGGTACAAGACCTACAGAGTAACAGAAAAGTCAGCCCCTCTCTAGCAAGGAATTATCTTTTTCACTTTCAAGATAATGCTGTTTGAATACCTATTCAAATACCTTTTGCAATGCACCTTTTAGCTTAGATATTGCACTTGTGAATGCGCTTTACCTGTGCTGACTTGAAAATAGTGCCAACATTATTGAAACATTTGCGTTTAGAATTTGGTTCAAGGTGCCAAGAAACTTACACTACAAGTCATTGGTTTTTCTTTCAGCTGGAAAAACTGATAATAAGCTTTGAGATTTAACTAGCCAATGTTTAAAGAAAATCAAACATATTGTTTTCTTAATGCCTGGATAATAATCCAATGCTTTTTTTCTATACTCCCTGTATGAACTCAGTGTTCTGACAGGAATTAGAGGACAAACATTCTGCAACTGCCTTACAGCAGGACTAGTATTATTCTTCTCTACCCATCTCTTTTCCTTCATCATGGTCCTATATCTTGTACAGAAGTTTGCCCCTTGTTAGTTTCAAGACTAGTCTGAAGAGAGACCATTTTCCACTCACATCAAACATCCATAGTGAAGGCAAGACATCTTCCTAGTAACATCAACAGAATGCACTTCAGGCTAGAAAGATTAGGGAAATTAATACCTTGGCATTTATTTTGATGCTCCATTTATTCTGCAATTACCTTCAAAATACAAATTTAACACCATGACCACCTCTTCCAGTTCTCCCTGGCTTTCATCTCTCATTCAAAATACATTTCAGCATATCTTTGCTAGATAAAGAAAATGAAGGATAATCAAGATAATTATCTGAAAAGCAATCTTTCACATGTATTTATACTGACAGATGCCAAAACTGAAGACTTAGTTTGTCACTTCTGAAACAGTAGTCTGCTTGCCTAATCCTGAAACTTGGTTTTCTGAAAACTATTTATGTCCTAAGCAAATTGACCTGGTTATGAAAAAAAAAAACAGCCACCAATAATTCTGAAGTCATTTTAAAGTACAAAAGCAAACTATTAAATGACAGTTGCTTTGCATTTGATCATCTTAATTTTGTTTGGAGACTTTCCAAGTAACTAGTAAAACCCTGACAAATCTTCCTAATTGAATTTTCAGTTTCAATATGACCTTCAAAAGAAGGTTACAAAAAATACAAACTTTTATCCTCTTGAAATGCATCATCTAAAAAAATAACAGAATGGGTATCCCTGCTGATTCAAGGCAGAACATTTCTCAAATGCGTGACTGATGACAGTATTTACAAGAATGGCCACTAGCAAAACACATTAAAACTCAATGGAGTAAGACCACTGACTGGGTGCTCTTAACGCTATGAAAACGAAACATGTAATATTCACAAATAAAACATCTTCTCTGCCTTGGTATAAAAATGATTGCATGCTGCAGCAGACAACTGATCTGTTAAAAACAAAGAACCCCACCCACGTTTTATGCAGTACTCACGAGCAGCAGTCATACAAGTTTTCCTACCATGACCCAATAACTGAAGTCTGTAAGACTATATTGTGTGCTAACTTTATTTCAAAAATCTACACAAACCAGCACACGAGTATAAATTAGTTTGCACCATTCTATGATTCTAGAGCCCTGTTTCAACAACAACAAAAAAACCCACCATGATTTTAAAATTCCTGTCTATACCCTCAACAAAAATGTAGTCTTATTTTAGCAGCAATCAAAATGGTCAGTGAAAGTATCATGAAAGTTATGTCTGTACCAAATTACTAATTTCTAAGCAGATTTTCATTTACTATTAGTAGTGTCACAAATCTTGACTTTTTTATACAGAGATTTACACCAGAAAAAACACTTAATTCAGAGGGGGCAGGGAATAATCTAAAGATACATACGACCACTCAGACTCCAACTGCACTTTGTAGACTTTCAGGACATGAAGAGCCACAGTCAAGTTCCCAGGATCCAGTAGTTCTCTCACCTTCTCTGAATTAAGGCAGGTGAACAGGACCATACAACAATAGGCAATAATTTTCCTATCACTGCATGTTAGGCATGTCCTTTAAGAGAAAATAAGGAGTTTAGAGAGTAAGTTACAAATGAACATGGAAAAACAAACTAGTGACTTTCAGCTTGCCAGGTTGTTTTTCCTTGCTGTCTTTTAGAAAATTATGTGTTTGTGTCCTGACTCCGAGAGCAGGGGGAGGGCAAGAAAGGGGGGGGAGGTGAGTGAACGAATTACCTGACTGGGTTAAACCACGACAGTCCGCTATTGCCTAAGAGGGATAGAAGTTATCTCCAAAGAAAAACATCCAAATTCTAGCTGAAGGTCAAACTTAACAGGCAATTTACAAAACTAATGCTAAATTGGAATTAACTGGAGCTCTAGAAATTGGGTGAAACCATAATAATGATCATCTGCTTCTATTATCATAAGGTACTTCTACATCCAGCGCTGACAAGTAGGCTCCAAAAATACGTTCAGAATGATTATCAAATTGAATGGAAGTGCCTTTGTTACTAGCTTACTACAAAAAAATGACCAAACACATCAACAGTATTGTCATATGTCTTCACACGAACACTTATAATATTTCATTACACATACGTAATTGAACCTCCAGGAAGATACTCTGCTAAGGCTGGGAGGGAGGCAGAATCATTAGAATATACAAAGATTATGTCACCTCTGTAGATTCCATAGCAGCAAAGGGAATAAAGAAAAAGGTACGTTCTTGAAAATAATAGAATCATAGAATGGTTAGGGTTGGAAAGGACCTTAAGATCATCTAGTTCCAACCCTCTGTCATGGCCAGGGACACCTCACCCTAGACCATGTCACCCAAGGCTGTCCAACCTGGCCTTGAACACTGCCAGGGATCAAGCATTCACAACCTCCCTGGGCAACACATTCCAGTGCCTCACCACCCTTCTCCTTATATCCAATCTAAACTTACCCTGTTTAAGTTTTAACCCATTACCCATTCTTCTATCACTACAGTCCCTAACAAAAAGTCCCTCCCCACCATCCTTGTAAGCCCCCTTCAGATATTGGAAGGCTGCTATGAGGTCTCGCCACAGTTTCTCCAGGCTGAACAGTCCCAACTTTCTCAGCCTGTCTTCATACAGGAGGTGCTCCAGTCCCCTGATCATCCTTGTGGTCCTCCTCTGGACTTGCTCCAACAGCTCCATGTTCTTCTTATGCCGAGGACACCAGATGAGTATAACTACTTAAAAATACCTCTTAAATAAAGCTTATGTTTGAAGCTTCTAATTTGAAATAGAAGTTTTCTTCCCATTTCTCTTAAATGAAATCAATTTACTGTTAGTTTAGAGCAAGCAGTTTTTAAAGGTCCTGACCTCTGTAGTTGACTAACAAAAAAACCATCTACAGGATATGGTCTCAACCATCACATTCTCACCAAAGTTATTTTTCAAAGCTTCATAGTGCTAGTAGAGGCACAACTATTGTGTAGAAAAGATATGAATATAACCACAGAAATTACATTAGGAGAAAAAAAAAAAAAACAACCCGCATCCATGCTTACAAGAAGAGATCTGGGAAAGCACACTTCCAAATGCTATTCTGGGAATCTCCATTTCCTGCTGCAACGTTTCCAAGAAATTGGAGGCTACAACGAAGAGCTGAAAAAAAACCCAGAATATATATTAACAGGAATTCAAAGAACCACTAATAAATTTCAAATAAATGACAAACTTCAGCATCATGGTTGTATACTACAGAATCCATCTCAATTAAGCTTAGGGTGAAGTATTTCACTGCATTTCTCAATGCATATTTGCATTTTCTCTTCCAATGCAAATAATTTTACAAAGTATTCCAGAATTATACCCAAAACAAATCCAGCTTTTTCCCCAGACTTATAGGAATATCAAACATGGTTTGATCAAACACCTGGCTACTAGTGATTACAAGAATTAACTAACTCTGTCAAGGTTTAAGACAGACTGACATCAGTGAAAGCTTGGATCTACAGTTAGCACAAACTGAAGCAGACCCATGCTGAACCAGTGGCTGCCACATGGCAGTAGTCATTCTGCCTCTTCCAGATCTGAGGTGGCTTTCTTCCTCTTGTTAAATTAACAAAAATAGGTAGTCTGTCATCACCTGAACTCTGCAAGAGCAGCTTTGCCTGGTGTTAAGAGAGCTCCCCAGGCACCCTCCCTATGCTGGCCAGAGACAGCTTGAAAATTTTGTTGCAGCAGGTACAGCCAGAGCAAGAGAACTGAATTTGTTCACTCTCTACCCACATTAAGTTCTGGTTAGCTGGACAAGTCATTATACAATATGATGATGTGCTCAGTACTTTTTGACTTCTATCCCAGAAAAACTCCAGTACTCCAAATAACTTTACCACCGATTTTAACACTGAATTTAATATGGCAGATTTCTACTACTACTATGAAGGATTTATTCCAGCCTCCTCTCAATACAGACTTAAAATGCAGGAAGATAATATTTCATCATACACATTAATAACCTAGAGTCTGTCAAAAGGCGCAAATTCATGTAAAACAAAAGCTTGAACCCACAGACCTCACAAAATTAAAACACTTTTTTTGGCCCTATTGACAGCTCTCAAAAACCTGGCCCTTATTAATAGGTTGGCAAAGAAACTTAGTATTAAATGTCAAAATGCAGTTTGACAGATATTACAATGAGCAGCCCATTACAGATGAAGGTGGCTGATACTGCCAGGGTCTGCAAATACAAAATTAGGACTCTTTAAAAGGTGCTGGGCCAGCTGGCAGCCAGATTTCCTACAGAGATCTGGGCATATGTCCTCTTGGGAACAAAAAGAAAGCAAGTCTAAAATGAGGTCACTTGGGCTTAGGGAATAGTAAGTAATTTTCTTCCATATATATTTCTTAAGCCTGCAGTATGTATATTCTCTCCATAATGCATTTTGAATCATATTCTCCTTTATGCTGTTCTGTCTCCCAGCACATCTGCTCTTTTTTATTACTTTCTGCTTGTCATTATGTTTCCGCTTCTCCCATCCATCTGGTTCCCATCCTGCCGACTCAGAATTTTTCTGAAGGACAGCAAGCATGGGCATGCTACTGTTCTAGCAGATATTTTATGGAAAAACTTCCCTGCTAGAAAAAAGCCAACAAAGCACTAAATCCTAGGAATAGGATATTCTTTCTCTTGGTGAACTCCTCACTTGCTCGGCTATGAGAAAGATCTCTCAAAGGACATGAGGTTGCTTTACCTGAAAGTCGCTTGATCTTTTTCAGCTGTCAATTACCCCTTGGTTATCAGAGCTTATGTTGTCAAAAAAAATACTACAGCCGGGGGGGGGGGGGGGCAGGGAAGGTGGGAATGGGAGAAGTTAAAGATCTTTTAAAAGAAGTTGCTGCCCTTAACGTTACAAAAAATCAAATGCTATGAACACATTTGCAGTACAATAATAAATATCTACAAATTCTCCATTAACACATTGGAGTCCTAATACTTGTGAAAGCAATTAACACTGCCCTTGTTCAATTGCAATCTCCTGAACAAGCAAGAAGGATCCAGGAAAAGGTCAAGATTCTGTGGATGTACCATGGAAAACAAAACAGTTTCACCTGTAAATGGTTAGTTTTAACCAGTAATAGTTAACATCTTTCTTTTAATTGGAAGACGTAAATCAATATATGGGAAAGCATTTAATCTGAAAGACAAAAGATACTGTATCTATTCACAAATAAGCAAAAAAGGATGATGCTCTGATAATGCAACATTTTCCCATCCAATTAATCTTACTTGATGAATCTCAGCCATTCAAAAGATGTGAATCTACAAACACCTGAAGTAATTGAGCTACTGGAATACAGATTACATACAACAGGACCTAGCTCACAATCTGTCCAATCAATTCTGTCACAACTACAGTGCAACTGTTGCACTGCTTCTGCAGTGTCTGAACTCCTTTTCCCTATGAAAAGAAAAACTAAAATAATTCATATTACACAAAACTTAACTAATTTCAAAGTACTTACTGTGATGTCAGGTCAATGACATAGGACAAATATGGCTATACCAGAGAGTGAATATTTATGCTTCAGCTTATATGATCATGGATCTACCTTTGAGAAGCCAGGTCTGCTGGGAGCTGATGAGATTCACCTGGCCAAGTGAGACAAGAGGGTCTTCACCAACAAGCTAGACCAACCTATACTGTGAAATCCCACCTGGAGTACTGTGTTCATCTCTGGAGTCCTCACTACAAAAACATGGACCTGTAAGAACAAGCCCAGAGGAGGATCATGAAAATGGTCAAAGGGGTGGGGTATCTCTCTTATGAAGACAGGCTGAGAGAGCTGGGGCTGTTCAGCCTGGAAAAGGAGGCTCCCAAGAGACCGTATTGCAGCCTTTCAGTATATAAGAGGGCTTATAAAAATGATGGATGGAGACTTTTTACCAGGGCCTGTAGAGACAGGACAAGGGGCAGCACTTGTGAACTGAAAGATGGTAGGTTTAGACTGGATACAAGGAAGAAATTTTTAATGATGAGGTTGATGAAACACTGGCGCAGGTTTCCCAGAGAAGCTGTGGCTGCCCCATTCTTGGCAGTGTTCAAGGCCAGACTGGATGGCAACTAGAGTAGATAATTGTAGCATGTTCTCTGTATCCTATCACAGTAGCACCTGTGTCCTTACACTTAAAAAAAGCATCAAAACCAAACAAGCACTACCCAAAACCAAACACTTTCCCCCAACCCCAAATATACACCTGATGGACTTGAAGCATACAAATATCTTACACGCAGTGTTTCTCTCCCACCATTTAACGGATGATTCCAGAAAAAATTGTAATAGCCTAGCACCAAGCTACCAAGTGACAGGAAATAACAATACGAACGTTGCAAACCTAGACTTTGGTATTCATGCTCTAAAAAAAGACACACGCCCCCCCCCCCCCCCGAAAAATCCAACTAGAACTATTAATTCACAGGAAGGTATACATATGTTAAAAAATGCAAATGCTACAATAAAAGCACTGCATTCCCAGCTATGGAAGTCTCTTATTAGCATTCAATTTCCATGCTTCTATTTTGGTTTTGTTTTAACTACTGAACTTGACTGCCGCAACTTATGATTCAACTATGCATAGAAATCTGTAGAATACACATACTGCTTTTCTCCTCTCCAACAATGTAATTGTCCTTACAGCAAAGGCAAGAAAAATCCAAAAGCTGATTAAAACCAACTTACTGCACAGTATACCAGCTGAAACCATTCTGCCATCCACTCAATAAACCTTATGCTTTGTGAAAAGGGGAAGGAAAAGTAACGGAAATAAAAGGAAGAAAATAAGAAGACAACTATTAAACTTTTCCCCTGAAAATGTATGGATCTTTAGCAAGCTAAAAATAACTGCCAGCCATTCCTTCCAGCTGCATTAGCTAGTATTAGTACTCATAAGTATAAAAAAAATGTCTTTTCCATAGGACTGACCTATTTAACATCTTAAGTCCACTCCCTACCTGCTGGTGTCTATAAGCACTGACTTTAACAAATAATTCTGTAGCTATCAGCACAGCTAAACCTTAATTTAAAAAAAGTTACACTGTGTGTGGTCAACAAGGCTATTTTTAACCTGATGGTCAACCACTGTGAAATTACATTTACTAAGATGTAACTTCTGATACACAGATAGGCCTTAAGAGCTGAATAACTTTTTTCCCCCTTTGAGATATCAGTGGTTACTACAAAAGCAGCATGCTCCTTAGCAAATGCAAATACTCAGGTTTCACAACGAACCTACAGTGGGTTACAGAGAATTCTAAGTTCTACAAAAACAACCTCTTTATACCACAGGACAACCCATACAGGGGAAACAACAACTCTTTTCCTAACGAATTCTGGTACCTAAATGTTTGTCTACATGTAAACTGATCTTTTAGAGTTGCTCAATGCCACCCACGCAACAAATGAGGCAGCTGATTCTTACAGCCCTGCACAAAGATGCCTTAAATGCACTCCACCAGCTCAGTACCTTCAAAATCACAGCTCCATTTGTTCCTTCCAATCTCTTTTGATCACACACTATCTGAACCAAACTTTAGTGTGTGCTTTTCATTTAAAAATTAGAAAACAAAGTTAGAAGAACTTACTGCTGGAAAGCCTCTATCAACAAGATTAACTGCAATTTCTCACCCTCACACACACACCTCCCCCCCCTTCCCCCCCAGTATTTTTCCTCATTAAATTGCTACACACAACCAATATGTTGTGTAGTCTATTTTGGTTTATTATATTATTATGCATATTATTTGTTCATATTCATACACACTTTTATGTCTTACTTACAGAACATGAGTTTTTTTCCTGAGAGATAATCGGACTTATCTGTCAAACTCTTACTACAGTTTCTCTAGGGAAGAACAGGAGCCCATGAACTTGCTCACCAATCACTTTGGCCTCAGTTGCAGAGGCTTACAACAGTCATAGAAAGTTTCATTCTTTTTATTTGGGGTAGACAGCACAGAGATAGTGCAATCCTGTGCCTTTACTGGAGTTACATAGAGATATAAAATAAATGCAATCAAAGCATGTCTTGCAATCAAAGGATGTCTGAAACTGTACAGCATCACTTACCAGACTGCAAACACAAGTCTAGCAAACTTGCATAT